TAAATCCAGCCATTTCACGAAGTTTAAAATGGTAAGACTAGCTATAAGTGAAAGAAATAGTAAAACCTCTTCAATTGTTTCCCTTGGTGGTTTTGGGCTTTTAAAATTCTTTCTTAATTATAGTTGTAATAAAAATAGTACAAATTACATGCTTATTATAGAACCAAAAAGTTCCTAAAGAATTGCCCAGGCTCAGGTATACTTCTTGGTCCTGAAATCTAAAAGTAAATGCCTTGCAAGCATCGGCTGCTGTTGCAATGAAATTTGACGGAATGGTACTTCTGGACCACAAACATTCACTCAGTACAAAAATCACAAAAAATTCTTTGGAAATGATAAAGTCTGCTAACATTTTTCACATTTTTATTATGTACACTTCTGTCCTATAAAAAGATAATGGCTCCTGTGTGGATACCTCACATTCAGTGGATTTCACAATCTGTTCGTAAACTGGTAATAGTCAATGCACAATCTTTTTACTTGCAAAAATATTAGTAAAATTATCTTATAACTAAAAGCAAACATTAGTGGCAAGAAATGTATATCCCAACTCCAACATTTGCTCTCTATCCTGAAAAGTTATTCAATTTCCGTTCCTGAGACGAAGCTGCTATTTTTTTGCATACTGAAATGACCACGCCGCAGACTTATCGATTCCTCACTCTTCTCTGATATTAAATCTCCTAAGAAGCGACTCCGAAAGAAAGAGAATAGATTTGACCTGTCTCAAATTGCATGCCTGGCTAAGTCTTTTACTTAGGATTTACCTGAACTCCTTTTCCTCGTCCTGGCCTTGCTCGGGAGGCAGGTACTCCAGCCGCCTCCTAGCTCCCTCTTTTCCCTCCAAAGCTAGAGCTCGCTGAGCTGCAGGGAGGCGTCAGTCCTCCCATCCAGGCCCGGAGGCTCTCGCTATCGGTAGCCCGCACGGGACCGAGGAGCCCCGGAGTCATTGTGCTGCGGGACCCGATCGCAGCTGTCAAGGCGCAGCGCAGCTCGCCCCGCCGGCGGGGAGGAGGGAGAGGACGGTCACAGGAGGGTCACAGCCCCGCGCCGCGGCAGCGCCCGCCCGCCCTTCCCCGGCCGCGCTCCGGGCCACGCACCGCGGCTCCGGGCGAGCGGCCTGCGGGGCCGGGGCCGCTCCGGAGCCGGGCGGGCGCCATGCTACAAACCAAAATGGCTGCCCCGGGGAGGGAGCCCGGCTCGGGCCTCCGCCGGTACCGCCGCTCCGCCCGCCGGACCTCGCCCAGGTACCGTCCCCGGGCCTCGGCGACCGGCTCGGCCTCGGGGGCCCCGCGGACCCTGCTCGCCCGGGCAGCGCTGCCCCCGCACTCCGCGCGCGGCCCGGCCCCCGGAGCCAGCCGGGCCAGTCCCGGATCGCCCTCGCCCCCCGTACCTGGAGCTCGGCCCGCTCCACCTCCCAGTGCGCCCTCTCCATCTCGAAGCGAGCCCACTCGTGCTGGATGTAGTGCAGGATCCCCGGGATGGTGTAGTGCTGGGGCCGGGACAGCTCGGCGGGGCCCGCCGCCTCCTGACCGGCCGGGGCCGCGGGGCCCTGGGGCTGTGGCTGTTGCCCTCCTCCTCCGCCGGCTCCAGCCCCCACGCAGCCCCCACCCGACTGCAGGTTCATGTTCCCACCCGCCTGCGGCGGCGGCTGTTGCGGTCTCGGGGCGGCCGCCATCCCACCGCCTCCTCCGGCTCCAGGGTGCTCGTCCATTGTCTGCGGGGAGCCCTCCTCCTCGTCCCGCGGCGGGGGCCGGGAGCAGGGGCCGGGGAGGGGGCGAGCGGCGCTGGCTGGGGCGGGGAGGAGGGGGCGGGCCGGGCGGGGGGGCTGCGCTGAGCGGGTCCGGGTGTCAGCGCAGCGCGGAGCCGCCGCCAGCCGCCATTACAGCCCCGCGGCCCTCCCACCCTCCCACCCGGCCGGGCGGGGAGCGAGCGGCGCCTGCCGGGAAACCGCGGCCTGGCCGCCGCCGCCGCCTCCTGCGGCCCCACGCGCCTGCGCGGGAGCGAGGTGAGCGCCGCGCCCGGGGGGAGCGGGACGGGCCCGGGGCTGGTCGCGGCTTCCTGCAGCGGGGGGCCTCGCCCCGCCTGGGCCGGCCCCGGGTCGGTCGGTGTCGGGGCTGGCGGCTTGGGGCCGGGCGGTTCCCGTCTGCCCCGAGCGACCGTCGGAAGTGGCGGCGAGGCTCGGTTCGCCCCGCGACTCGAGAGTGCCGAGCGCCCTGGGAAAGTCGGCGGGAATGCTGCCAGGCCGAGGCCTGCGTCCTAAAGCGGCGCGCAGCCAGCGCAGCGCGGGTCTGACACTTCGGTTTTTGAGACTCTGCGCGGTTTAATGTGCGCTGAGTTTGCCCTACAAGGAGGTGGTTTAGAATAGATGTATTCAATTTATTATATGTTTCTAGAAGTTGGCTAATCTCTGTTCATGATACCTCGGTTGTGATGTATGTAATGTATTCCCCCCTAGAGGAAGAGTGCACCATGTTCGCTATTCAAAACTTCCACGTGAGGACGGTTTTGCAAGAAATTACTGGTCTATTTTATCTGGCTCAGTTTTACAGTGATAGCAATGCGGTGTTTGAGGCTGGAGTTTGAGTATGGTGAAATTGCCTCTGTTGCAAAATACTACTCTGAAACGTAATACTTAAAAATTATTGTCACTGTTTCAAATGATCCATAGGTCATCCATTTTAAGTAAGGTAGGTCTTTGGCTTTATCTCTCTTCAAAATTTAATGTTGTGTTCATTCACTGCTTGGGTAGTTTCCTAAATAAGGTCCGTTCTTGACAGACCTGGAATTCTGTTAATTACTGGAAAAAAATACTGTTTGTCTCAGTACTGGTATTTCCTTTCTTCACCAATCTCTCTTAGGTATGTATTGATGCTTCAGTTAGTTCATCCAGTCCTTCCTTTCCATTAAATCATTTCCTACTAAAATGTCATTGTCCATTCTTCCTGATTCCATACCGATTAGGCAATCTAAATCCACCTCCTTTCCACCAGCTCCTAACATGACAGCTACCTAATCATTATTAAAAACTGAGACTTAGCTCATTACTGGTTTAACCTTTTGTTTACCTCCAATTGTCCAGGACGTTACTCATTCCTGAGTATATGGGAGTTATTGCAGTTTAATTCTGTTACTATATTCACACAGCATTTTGACAACAGCAAAGGAAAACGTTTTTATTCTTTCCTTCCTCCCTTGACTTCCCTAGATAATTAAGGTTGCTTTTTAAAAAAATCCCTGTCCTGAAATTGAACAGTGTTTTATTTTAAAGCCACAGGGACATACTTGTTTCATCTTTTTGATGAATTGTTATGGGCACAGTAATAAACTAGAATGCAAAAATAACTTTTACTGGTAAATTTGAAATAGTATGTGATTTTATTAAGTCCTTGTCCACTGACAGAACAAAAGTAGGAAGACCAAGGGTTCTGATTATGTGTGTAGTCTTCATTTGTTGCATGGTTTTGTGCAATAAATCTATAGGAAGTTCAATAAACAAAAAATATTAAAAAATCTTGTTCCTATGCTACACCTGCTGGTGCTTCATGCCTCTATCATTCAGCTATTTTAAAATTTTCATTGATGTTTTAATTCCAGTTTAACCCATTTTGTTCTATATTTGGTGAAGGACGTGGAGGGGAGCAGCTGGGGTCCCTTGGTCCGTTCAGCCTGGAGGAGACTGAGGGGAGACCTCATTGCAGTCAACAATTTCCTCTTGAGGGGATGAGGAGGGGCAGACACTGATCTCTTCTCTGTGGTGCCCAGTGACAGGACTCAAGGGAATGGCCTGAAGCTGTGCCAGGGGAGGCTTAGGTGGGCTATCAGGAAAAGGTTCTTCATCCAGAGGGTGGTTGGGCACCAGAACAGGCTCCCCAGGGCAGTGGTCACAGCACTGAGCGAGTGACAGAGTTCAGGAACCTTTTGGACAATATTTTCAGGCACAGGGGGTGACTTGGGATTTCCTGTGCAGGACCAGGAGCTGGAATCAGTGCCTTTGTGGGTCTCTTCTAACTCAGAATGTTCTATGATTCTACATTTCATACACACATTAAGTGCCATTAAATATCTGCATCCAGAAAATCAACTTGTTTAAAGTTGGACAGTGCAGTACATTATTTGCCTATAGTTTTATCTAACATATATTTTTAATTCTTGCTGAAGCAGTTCTGTAAATATGTAGTCATGCCATTTCTTCTTTGCGAAGTTTTATCCCTTACATTCTAGCTAAGAGCCCTAGAATGCTGTAAACCTTTCTTAGACTGAAATAACTAAAATACTTCTAAATCTGTAGACATTGACTGGAGTGGTTTTAGTTTGAGAGACACGTGTCTAATCAGCTGTACTGCAAGTACAATTCAAACTTAGGTTGTGTTTCTTTTTTTATAATTTATGCATCAGATTATGTTGGTGAAATCTGTGCCACACTAAATTCAGTGCTTGTATCTATACCAGAGGAATAATTTAAATTATATTTTAAATATGCTTTATATTACTGCATGTAGAATCAGCTGGGCTGGCCTCGTGGGAGACTTAAGATCTTCAGATCTGCAGAACAGGTATTACAGGCTTTGCCTCTTTGAGAGGTCTCAGCTGTTACCTGAAAAGGAGTGTCACTCAAACAGGGACAAGTTACTTTGAGGTGTCTCATGTGGTTATGCAGCCTGAAGAGCTGACATGTCTTGGAAGCAGCTCCTAAACCATGTCAGCCTGGCAGTGTGAGTCACACAGGCCAATCACTATGTGAATTTTCTCATAGATACTTATCTGCAAGAGATACTTTAATGAGGGTGAAATCTAACACACTGTAACAGCTCATATTTAAATCGCAGTAGATAAACTGTATGTCATCTTAACTGCATGCCAAATTTTCCATATAGAAGATGTAAGGAAAATAAAGGAGAGTGCTACTAAGTCACTCCAGAAGGTAATTTTCTTTTGAAGAAAAGTTTGCAGTTTCCAGACTTTTTACATCTTCTTTTTTTTTACTTTTTTACATCTTCTCCAAGAGGTTATTGTTTATAGGGAGCCTTCATTCGGTGATAAAGTTTCATACGTGTTTTGTAGATTGGACAGGCAGGACATGCAGGAAGTCTATACCATAGGCTATTCTGGACAACATTTCTAATGCATGGTTGACTGGGATGGAGAGAGTTGGACTTGACAGTCCATCAGGATCTCGATAGTCTCTTCCAGTCTTCGGTTCCTAAGCACATTTGTGATGCAGATAGTTGTCCAGTGACCTGGAATGAGAGAGCCTATTCATTTCTGACAAACAGCCTTCAGATAGTAATGTCTTTTCATTACTAAAATGAGCAAAATAATGGCAGAAATATGAAAGGCTTGCATCTTGTCACCAATTCCCTTGAACCATTTGATTCTGCATGCATAAAAGCATCATCATCTGTGTGTGTGTGTGTGCATGGATACATGCAGACGTGCGTGAGAATGCTCAGAAAAGCACGTGAGAATTGTATCAGAAGAAAGGTAGCTGGCTTTTTAAGTAGAGTACTGATTATTAATCATAAAAGGTAGCTTCTCAAATACAAAAAAATTGAAGGAATGGGGTTTCTTTACCCATCAACACACAGAAATATGCTTTTTGTTTGTTATACTCCACAGATTTCTTTACATCCTGTATATGCAAAACTCATTTCAACGTGTTTTCTGTAACTGAAAGCCAAGATGAAAAGAGACAAAATAAATTTTGTTTGTTAGAAACAATACTCAGTCATTTCCCTTTTTTGCCTAAATTGTGCAAGCAAATGCTTTTACTACTGCAAGTGATTTTTTTCAGAATTAGTTCTAAAGGAAGTAAAGAAACCCCTTAAGATATTTTTAACACTAGCATTATTCTCAAAATCAGCTATGCTTGCATAGTTTTTGTTATTTTTTACAAAATTATAATTTGAACTTGTTAATTTAGTCCACTTTTTCTGCGCAAAACTGTGTGCTTGTGCTGCCATTTATATGAACAAAATTTCTGGTTAAAATCTTGAAAGCTATCTTTGGGGCAGGTGGGAAAATACAGAAATGGCTACAGAAAGTGGACCTCTTTCCTACAGATTCAAAACCTGTTGATTATGTTTTCCAATCCTATGAATAATAATAATTGTCTTATAAATTACACATAACACTTTTGAGTGCTACTGTGGTTCTACCTCTGTTGCAACTTTATTAGTTTTTTTCTTTTTTTAATTTATTCGGGATAAGAGCATTTGTGCAGATTTAAAAAAAAAACAATCTGGTCTAAACATTTTCATTTGTAAAACAATTCAGGCCATTCATAAGGATACATGCAGATAAAATAGTCATAACATCAGAAAGGGATTAACCATGTACAAAGATTAGGTTAATAAAGGAATAATTAGGATTAGGGGCCAATCCTGCAATAGGATCATACGTCTGAATTTGTTGCGTGTTTTCTGTTACATATTGCTTAACAGTTAACTCAAAGTGCAACAGCTCTGTCAGTACTCCTGGGGTAGTTGTACTGTTCTTCCTGTCCTCCTCAAGCCCTTGGTACCATTTATGACTAAATTATTAAAATAGCTTGGATCAAAGCAGAGAACCATTAATTCTTGTTTCAGCAGTGCCAAAGATGAAGTGTAAAACTCGGATGAATAAAGAAGCCATCTATGCCACTGTTTTTCAGTTGGTCTCCTGTGTCTGAGCTTGCTTAAAACAATGGGCAGCATTTCTTAGATTCTTTGTCTTTCATGCCACAGCTCCTTCTTAAGTAGCTTTAGAGTTTCAGGTTCCTTCTGTCATGCGGTTGGCTCTTGCTAGGGGGCCTCATTCTGAGCTGGAAGGAGTTGTTCATTCTTGTCCTTCTTGGAAAGTTTTTATCAAAAACTGATTATGTCATCTTAGTGTTTCAACTTTATGCTTAAAAATAGTAAGACATCTTATTGCAACTCTAACTTCAGGCAGGAATTCAAAATAGAATGGGGGGGGGAAGAAGCCATATACTCAACACAGCAAAGGTTGTATAGATGGTAGTCTCCCATTTAGTCATCAATGTCAGTTTACTTGCCATCCAACAGTGAAAATCTCATCATACATTTCTATCTGGGCATTTTTTTATCTTAATGACCTGGTTCATTCTTTCTCAGAGACAAGCTGTGCTGATTCAGAAGCCCTGGGTGCAGTGCACAAGCCTCGTGCACCACGGCAGCAGCACTGACCAGCATCCACGACTGCTGTGGGAGTGACGCAACAGACGTGCATTCCTGAAGAGGCTTCATGTGCCTGGAGGAGGTGAGAAAGCTCTGAGATTGTCATGATTCCAAATAGATTCTGTTATCTTGAGGACTGATCCTGAACTAATTATGTGTCAGTCAACTAAGAGTGAATTCTCAGTATCAAGTCAAATTAGTAAAAATACATTTGAAATTACATATGGAAATCTAAACTTCTTTGTAGATAGAGTAAACCACAGTACACAGAGAGTCACTTTCATGAGATCCAAGTGATGGTAAAAGAGGTGGCTTTTCTTTCAGAAAACAATGACCACGGTGAATCAGAAGTAAGCAATAAATAAGGTCGGCAAAATATATTGGGACTAGTTGCATCACTATCATGAAAGATTTGTCACCCATGCATGGTATATAGCCAGCTTATTCAAGTTGCTAATAATATGAAGTGCCTATGGAGCTTGCCTTGTATTTTTTCACCTTTTGCTTTTCTGCATTAAGATACTCTGTTTTTACTCAAAGAGCTACACTGTATTGTTTCGTGGATTCCTGATAGGTTTTTTCTGTTTAGACTTTGTCATAGAAGCTGTGAGACCTAAGATGCATCAGGTAAGGACCAATTCTTCAGAACTGGAAAAAAAGGAATAACTTTTGCAGTAATTGCTGTATTTCCAGTGCACAAACCTCAAGATTATTTGGGCCAATAAATCTGGGATGCAAATAGAGAGTCAGATGGAAAACATTAGTGATTGTTCTCAGGCATTAAAGAAAATAACCCAGAACTTCTATTTCAAAAAATTACATCTGCAGCTTATTCTATTTTCATGCTTTTCAAAACATCAGAGATGTCAATTGTTTAGCAAGCAGATTCTAACATACGCTGTGCTCTTTTTAATGCCCTTTTTCACTGTACATTGCATGTGGGTTATTTCTATTATACAGCTATATTTCAGTGGTGTTGGGTGGATTAAGATTTATTTATATTGAAATAAAGCTCTTTTGAGTAATTAATGTGAACCGATTTCTCTTTAGCTATTGAAGACCCACACTTAGTTTTCATTAAGTGCAGAATTTACCTTTTGCATCAGTGTGGGGAATCAGACAGGAGAAGACAGATTTCATTAGTTCCTGGTGCAGCTGAAGATATGTGTTGATACTGCAGATACCCAAATATTTAGGAGTCTCTCATTTGGGATTAAAGAAATTATCACGTGTTGGGGCCCATGCATTTCCCTTTGTCATCTCTCCATTCAATTTGATAAGACAATTGTATGCATGTCATTGTTAAATACAGGTTGGGGGAGGATAAAAGTGCTTATAGACAAATTTTGCTCTTAGGAGCTGTATTAGTGTGGTTTGGTATGGGGCAAATTTCTGATGTTCACAAACCAGTTAGCATGCAGGAAGAAAATGGTGAGTAGATTTATGGTTATGAAGAAGTAATTGTTTACTCCTCTAATTTCCCAAATCCTATCAAGGAATGTGAAAATTTTAAATTTGAAAGCCGTTATTTATTAGATAGTTTGTGAATAGTTGTGTGGGGGAAAATGGGAGTTTTCCAAGGAATGTGTGCAAAATAGTTGAGATTTTTTTTTTAATGTTCTATATTTTGGCAATAAACTCAGTCATAAATATATGCATACCTGGGTTGGATAGCTTTTAGGAAGTCTTTATTCCTATGTATTATCTTCTTTTTTTTTTTCCCCTGCCCCCAGAAATATTCTTCTTGATTCCTGCACACAAAATTGAAATCCACCACTGAAATCAACAAAAAAGAAATGATAAAATTTTTTCTTATGGTTAACAAACAAGGTCAAACAAGACTGTCCAGATATTATGAGCATGTAGAAATTAATAAACGGACAATGCTGGAAGCTGAAGTAATCAAAAACTGTCTCTCCCGTTCAAAGGATGAGGTAGGTTTTGTAGGTTTTATTTTATCTGCATCTTATAACTTTCCTATATATATATGTACTTTTCCCCCATCTCACAGTACTCCTACTGATAATTCTGAAACCTATGTGTCTATCACAGCTCATTATTCCATCTGTGTCCATGATAATAAAGATTGAGTTGAACTGTTATTCTGTATTCAATAAATATGTTTTTCTGAGGCTTACAGAGATTTTGGAGTTGTGTATATCACTGTCATGAAGATTTCTCTTTTTTGTTTGAAAAAGCTCAGAAGTCTAGGAAAAACTCATTTTATCCTTGTATTGCTTGTCTGAAAGAGATGGATGAAGGGATATTACTGTTTTGCCAGAGGGTAGAAGGCAGAGTACTGACAGCTCTGAGTTTAAACTTAGGGTAGAGGATTCCAAATTATGAAAACTTTATCTAAAGCACAGGGGGCTTTGGAAACAAATTTTTAGACCTCTGTATTAGACTTCTTTATTAAAAAAAAGTGGTCACGTGTTCTGCAAGACAATCAGCAAACACAGTATTTGGAAAAATTTTTGGATGAAAGTTGAGATTTTCATTGCTCTCTTAATAAAATCATTTGTTCTTTAGGAAAAGCACCAAACTTTGGAACATTGACTTGAATTAGAGGAGAAATATGTGACTTGGACAATGAATTAAATTATCTGTTTGTTCTGAAGTCAGCTGCTTTACTTTTCATTAATGATGTGTGTTCTTGCACAGCACTCCTCACATACTTCATTCTAGGAAAGCTCAATAAAATAGCAGTTCTTATAAGTCCCTTAGTTCGCAGCTTTGACAGCAGCTAAAGAAATAACATTTTCGTGCTGCTCCTGCGAGGGCATTTCGAGCGCAGCTTCCAGCGGAGGAGCTGCCGGCGCTGCCGCTGCCATTTCGGGCACCGGGCGAAATGACGCGGCGAGAAAAGGCGGCGACGTCTCCTCTAGCGGCGTGAAACGGCGCCATCTCCTGGCTCCCTCCTGTTGGGAAAGATGTTCATTCCCCACTCGGTCTGGAAGTGTAATATTCTTAATTTTTGTATTAAAATACTGATAATTTTTTAAATAGGAAAATTACCTTTAGGTCTCTTTTTGAAAGGGCTTGCAAATGAAAATTATGGGAAAGTATTGGGTGCCTTTATAACCCCAAACAAGTCACTTCTGTTCTGCATGTTTCAGTTTTTCCATTTAAAAAGCAGTCGCATGTTTTCTGCCAGCAGATGAAAAGTGTGGTGTAACAGTTACTGTACTAAATTTCTTTCAAGTTTGATGAATCTTGGGAAATCCGTGTTCTCTGTGGGTCTTTCAAACCTGAAAGCTCAGACCCTTTGAACAATGTGCTTTACACTGTGGTATGCTTAACTGGCAGCTGCTATATTTGACTCATTTTGCTTCTGCCTAGTGCTCTTTCATTGAGTATAAGGACTTCAAGCTGGTGTACAGACAGTATGCAGCCCTTTTCATAGTTGTTGGCATCGACCAGACAGAGGTAAGAAATTATATACCCTCTTGCAATGAACATTTATAGTCATTATCACAGGCTAGAGCTCAAGTCTTCATCCAGTTTCATTTCTTTGGAGCAAGAGAGGTATTAAAGGAAGCGTGCTATATTTGACTTTGGTCTTTAGCAGTAGAATAAACTGTTACAATGAGATAGTCTTCCTGACCCTTGTACTGATTCTGCACTAATTTTTGTGAGGTGGCATTTCTCAACAAATGTTAGCATTACAGCCAGGTCAGCTGTCTCATCTGGGAAGACTTCTCACTGCCTTTAATGTCTTTGGCCAAAGGAAAAATTCCTATATTGTCAGCTGTAAAGATGCCAATTTATTTTGCTTTTCAAAAAGGGAAAAAAAAGAAAGGTATTTGAAAGCTGACAAGTACTGTTACTTCATTTGTTCAGGTTGCACCTGGGAGGCCTTAGTGTTTGCATTGATAACTGGTTCTCAGAAATTAATTCAGCTCTTTATGTTGAGACTTTAACAGGGTGGTGTGGAAGGTAGCTGTTGCCTACCACACACAGTATCTTCAGGTCAGGGCTATCATGACAGACAATTTGGGACAAATTATTTTGGCTTTGCTACAGAAATCGCCCAGCAGAGGCTGGCTCTGTGCTACAACTGGCTGGTGTGACTTCAGCATGGGCAAGCTTAACCTGGTTATCTGTGTGTGTCCATAGGGCTGAGCTGGGAGGGGTGGATCAAAGGCTGCAGTGGGATGGCAGCAGCCCAGTCAGGGAATCCATTGGCTGTCACAGAGCTGCTCTGTGTGGCCGGCCTGGAGCCTCTGCCCTGAGCACTGCCCAGCTCTCAGCATCTCAGCTGGGTAACTACATGGCCTGAGCAGAGGGCTTCCTCTGTTGTCTAGAGTACTCTATTGGCTTTTCATTCACCACAAACTGAATTAACACAAAGAACACTATTACATTTTCTAGATATTGATTTAATATTCAGTTGGTTTAATTTCAGAATGAGATGGCAGTATATGAACTAATTCATAATTTTGTGGAAGTTTTGGACAAATACTTCAGCAGAGTGGTGAGTGAGACACTGAATCTGTTATGAAATATTTTTTCTCTTTCAAAACTTTGGCGAAAGTGTCATTTCAGAGAATAAATCAAAGGAGAAAAATATGTAGTATTTTAGAATTTTGATAAATATTATCACTATGGGGAAAGGCAGTATGAGCTGATTTTTTCAGAAGTAAAAGTATACATGGGTTATAAATTATCAGACAAGGAATACCAGAAATATTTCTGTTAGAAAAGCATGGTTTTATGGGGTTTCTTTGGGTCATATACTCTTAAATTAGCAGTGGTCATTTTATATGTTTTAAAGAAATAAAGAGGTTTTACTTTGCAGTTCTTAAGCATTTTATAGCATTACATTCCCCAAATGAACTTTATTCATGATTAAGATGGTGTAAGCATGAAGCAGAGAACTGACATCACTCTCACTGAACAACATCAGAGGAATGGAGCAAAAGAAACCTAAGAAACAAGTCTGTACTTGTACTCCCCATATTGTTGTCAGGCAACAGTGGATATCTGATAAAACAGCTATTATAGAGATAGTAATTTTGTTAAGGATTCAGCATCAGACATGGCTCCACTTAAAATGACACTGTTCCTTTTGGTGGGAGTTTTTTTTGCTTGCTTGTTTTTACAAAGTTCGAAAATGCAGCATTGTAATTCTGGTTAGAACATTTGTTATTTTATATAGGGTTTGTAATAATCTGGTTAAAAAAAAAAATTGACTGAAGTCATACTTTGGCAGCGTTTCAGTTAACCTTTGCTGAAATGTGTTGGATATCTCTCGGAAAAGAGGACTGGATAGTTTCCTCTGTAGTCCATGTACTTGAGGGTATTAGACTGGTAACTCTACATACAAGATATCAGTATGCAGGGTCTGTAACTGCTTTCTCAGTTCTAGTACCATAGCAGGCATGGCAGAGCTCCCTCTGTGAATTCAAGGACATGCTTGAAAAAGTCATCTGTATCCTTCACTGCTTAGATGCTTGGCAAATCTTTTAGGCTCTTATCTCAACTGACGTTGCTCCAGCCCATTGAAACTGTTGGTACTAAGTATATCACTTTCTGACTGCACTGAGTTCAGATTCTCTTAAAATTCCTGATTGTAGTCCCAACCTAAGCAATGATAGCCAGGAATGGAATTAGATCTCGGCAGCACAGGAATGCACAATGAAATTTAGTCATACCTTGTTTGTCTGACTGAGCTAATAGTTGCCAACTACCTCTCAAATTTTATTCAATTAAAGTGGAGCAAAAATAAATGTAATTTTTATATGTATAAATATAGTATACATATAATCCTTTGACCACACATATAACCCAACCACTGATAGCTGTTAGAAATTTGCTGAGCTCATCACACCAGAGGGTATTTTTTTAATTTTTCATAGCATTTTGGGTTTGAGACTAGAGGAACCTAAAAGGGGGGTGCTAAAAGAAATCTCATGCCATTTGATGGTTCTGGTTTTAATATCATATACTATGGTAAATGGCAGAGCACTAAGACAAGGTCTGTAATTCTAGCTGGGGTTTCTGGCAGTAACCACAGAGCAAGAAAGTATAAATCTGTACTTTTACAGATTACTGTTTAGGATTTGCAGAATTTTAGCAGAATCCCAAATTATGATGATAGCAATGGAGACAGAACTCTGGGAAAAGAGAACGTGTCCCATTCTAGAAGGACATTTTGTCATCTATTATTTTTAGACTTGAGGGCTTTAGACATTCTCACGTACTCTATTTTTATCTAATGGAGTTTACAGAGCTTGAATTCAGATATGAGAACAAACATTAATGGAATTAGGGGGAAAGCTTTCAAAGTTGCTTGTGAGATGTAATTCTGAGTCTCCTTCACTTTTATATGGCTGCCTAGGAAAAAATCTGCATAGTTTTCAGAATAATTTCAATGTCTCCAACAACTTTTTAATGCTGAGAAAACGTAAACTGACCAGGCCCTTAAAATGTAATTTTTGTGATGCATTAAAAACTTCTAATTGAAGACTGGCAGAGTCACTCAGAAGAGGCCTGTAGACTAGAACCAGTCCAGTTTAGATCATCTTTAGACCACAGAAATAGTAGCAATTTTACCAGTAAAACTTACCAGCTTTACTCTGCCTTAAAACCAGGTTTAGACCATGGAGGAAAACCATATTATCAAACTAAATTCTCTAGGTAGCAAGTAAAGATTCCCTCTTTTAGTAGAGACTGGGGAATCTCCACCCAACTGTACCTGATCTTAAGTGCTAAGGCTGTGATTAATTCTTTCTAAGTTTAGCTATTTAACTGAGGCACTTAAGTTAGAAATTTGGTCATCCTAAGCTCCCATTACTGGCAGTGGAGACTGAAGAGTATCTCAAGAAAGTGAGTCATGCCTCAAGTGTGCTGAGTCAACTGGTGAAGATCCCCATCTCTTCTGCTGACTGCAGAGACACCATGAGGGCTTCTAAATCAGACATTTTGGTTAAATGAGTAATAGTGCTTAGGGAAAATCCAAAAATAGAAGGGAAATGATGACTAGATGAAGCATTGTGTTGCTGGGGCTGGAGAATACTTAGCAGTGCTAAGGGTCCAAAGCTTGGAGTTGCCTTGCCTTTCCTAATATATGCAGACACTACCACAGCCATGGGTATATACAGTGTCTAGATTTTGTTGTTGAAATGATCTGCAGCAACAACTTCAACTGTATAAACTTGGCATAAATGTCCTGGTTTTGTAGAAGGAAGAAAAGAGAATATAGGGCTGGAACTGCCATGATTAGAGCTGCTGGTTTTCCACCCACTCACTCTGATGGCACTGACTATATTCAAATCATTACTTGTAGGTAACCTCAGTGGGCTTTTAAAGTAAAACATTAGCTTTGATTACAGAGACTGGGAAGACATGTAAAGCAAAGCAGTGTTGCAGGAAAGAGCATGTAATTTTTCAGTCCAGAACACATATCTGAATCACTCTAAAATTTTCTATCATTATTTTGAAGATTTTCTTTATCCTTTGAAGGGATGTGTAATGTTTAATGATTATGAGATGAGATCATCTGAGATAAGAGATCAAATTGTAACTAATAGCTGTCTATCTCTTTTCCTTGCAGAGTGAATTAGATGTATCCTTTTCAGTATCAGAAATCAATTTGTTATCGCTTTTTGGTATATGTTCCAGTTCATGCTGTCTTCATAGCACTGACTGTCATTCAAGTCAATGCAGATGTTCACCGGTTTTGCACATGGAGTAAGTAGCACCATTTTGGCACCTTTCTGAAAGCATAGCTGATGTTCAAATGGGTCACCTATTTAAATCCTCCATCATTAAGATAAACCTGCTTCCATTTAAAGTAAGACACAGCGAGCTTGCTTTGAGAGAACTAAGTACATGTAAAGTTAAATTTATGGGGAACTTTCAGGCTTAACTAGTTTAAGGTTTCACTTTGAGTTTACAATAAAATAGATATTGAAATTACTGTAATAACAACTGAATGGTATATCTGTGTCGAGCCAAATAGCAGCACTATTTGTAAGATTATGTTTGCAGTTTGATCTTGCTTCATGAAAGCAAGAAGTGAATTTTACTTTCTCTATCTTTGGAAGGAGGGAAAAAACCTGGGATGAGAATATTTAGGAAACGAGGTGTTAACTTCTTTTCCTACTCCTCCCCTTACACTGATGTATTTTCATGGGTATGTTTTACAGGGTATTAATCAAAATATGATTTAAAACTCACCCAAATACAAATACTAAAATACAGTCCTGAACAATTAAACACAAATAGCAAGTAAATAAAACACAATACTAGAAAAATTAAACCAGGAGAATGTAGCACAGTCTTCCTTCTCAGTTCTTCCAGTTCCACTGCATGTTGACTCTACTCCTGCTGTTCTTATGCTTATATTTGTTGTTGGTTAAATGCAGATCTGCTGGTACAAAGAGTTTCAGTTACACAACAGAAATACAGTTGCCATCTTGCAATCAAGTACTGTCAAGTAATTTAGTTTATTTACTTTATGAATTACCACTTATGAAGAACATAGAAAAAGTCTGTAATTTTTCTTGTAATTACTTTTTTACTGAAGAAGGAAAAAAAGAAAAAAACAGGAAATAATTAATTTCACTTTTGAAAATATTTTAAAGCTTGCTACATGCTGTAACTGTCTCATTTGCTGACTATATATATATACACACTCACAGATTATGTCTGTTTCCTTCCTGAAATTTAGAAAATGCTGCGCTGTTAGTAAAACCTTTAAATTCACTGATACTATGAAAGAGCAATAATGACATTCCAGTGTGAAGGGATACTTAAGGTGTGTGAGCAATTATAGAAATACATCTTTTCTGTATTCAGTTAGTTCTAATCCTGAACTATGTGCTCATGTATATGAGCTTTACCAAATTAGAGACTAACCTGACCTATTTAGTAATTACATATAAAAAGAATCCCTATGTTTCCATATAGTGTACTTTGAGCATGCAATTGCCTGATTATCAGAGTCATTTGGGATATTGACAATTCTAAATCCTTCTGCCTCTGTTCAGCAATTTCCTGCCAAGAGCTCTACACCTTGAGCTACTTCCACTACCCTGTTTAATAGCTGAGAAAGGCTGCTGCATATCATAGAATGGTTTGGGCTGGAAGAGACTTTAAAGGTCTTCTAGTTCCAAACCCCTTGCTATGGGAAGGGACACCTTCCACTAGACCAGGTTGCCCAGAGCTCCATCCACTCTCTGGGTCTTGAATACCTTCAGGGATGAGACATCTACGACTTCTCTGGGAAAACCGGGGTAGTCCCTTACCACCTTAATAGTAAAGAATTTTTTCCTAATATCTTATTTACATCTGTTCTCTTTCAGTTTGAAGCCATTTCCCCTTGTCACTACATGCCCTGGTAAAACATCCCTCTCCAGCTTTCATGTAAGGCTCCCCTTAGGTACTGGAAGGCCCCAATTAAGTGACTTCTAAATCATCACTTTTCCAGGTTGAATAATCCCAATTCTCTCAGCCTTTCCTCATAGAAGAGGTGCTCCATTCCTCTGATTATCTTGGTTGGCTCCTCTGGAGTCTCTCCAGCAGGTCGCTGTCCTTGCTGTGCTGGCACCCCAGAGCTGGTGCAGCCCTGCAGGTGGGGTCTGACAGAGCAGAGCAGAGGGGCAGAATCCCCTCCCTGGCCCTGCTGCCCACGCTGCTTTGGATGCAGCCCAGGACACCCTTGGCTCTCTGGGCTGGGAGTGCCCATGGCTGGGTCATGTCCAGCCTCTCCTCCAGCAGCACCCCCAGGTCCTTCTGGGCAGGGCTGCTCTCATCTGTCCATCCCCAGCCTGGGCTGATACCTGGGGTTGCTCTGACCCAGGTGCAGCACCAGCACTTGGCTGTGTTAAACCCCATGAGAATCCCATGGGCACAATTCTTGAGCTTGTTGAGATCCCTGTGGATGGTATCCTGTTCTTAGTCTGCACTGTTTGGAGAAGTTGTTGCATTACAGGCCAACACTAATGTTGGCAACAGGTGCAATACCATGTCTGAATGATTCCTGAAGAAATTCATCTACATGGGGTCTCATCTGCATGATGGCATGAATATAAATATTTAGAAAATAGGAGTGTGCATTTACTAACTTACTTTGTCATAGTGGAAAAAATACTGGAAAAGCTCATATCTGATACGTCTCTCCTTAACACATATGACGTATGCATGAAGTATGTAGCTTTAGCATTCAGAAGTGCACTTTTTTATGACAGACATTTCAGGAACAAATTCACAATAAAACATTTTACTTCTATATATGTACAAAATAATTCTCCCATTTAGAGAGCTTAATTCTTAACTTGAAAGGCTACCTAAAATAGTGAAAATGAAATGAGATACCCTCCCTTATTGAAATGTAAAGCAGAGGTATAACTAAGAGGAAGTGGATTGTTCAAGACTGTATTTATTTTTGACAACAGCTTGAATAGCTGATCCAGAAGAACAATCTGGACAAGTGCCTTTAGCTATTATTGCAGTGCAAGAAATAAAACATCAACCTGCCTTTCAAAATGTGAAAGAAAATATCCTGCCCTGCGATTAAACAATTGCCTTTGCTAAATGGTCTCACACTAAGTCTTGTGCTCAGTGCAGTTAGCTTGGATGCAAAATATCTGCTGGAGAAGGTATCGTCTGAAGATCTGCAACAATGAACACCAAGTAGTATTTACAGAATCTTAGTTTACAGAGTATCTTGCAGGAGACTCATAATTTCCTGAGTCTCTGCTATTATTTTTGTGTACAGATCCATAGGAAGTTTATTTTAAATATGATAGTGACTATTCTATATAGACAGTAGTGTTTACTAACTTGAAAAAATAGCAGGAAATGACATGAACTCAAAACCCATTTAAAATAGACCATAATTACTAAGGCTATTGAGCCATGCACAGAGCAAAGCCCAGTTAAATCCAAAGGCTGAGCCTATCACAAAATTGAGATGCCCCTGGAGCCCACACCAAGCCTGCAGCACGTGCAGTGGTTCTTGCAGCTCCCAGACATAGTGCATTATCCTAGTATTCCTGGCAGTGCAGCTCCAGCAGAGGCAGAACTCCAGCTTTCGTTTAGATCCACAGCTGAATTCATGCAGCGCATCCACACTGTAGCTTTTGTCACGGTCTGTCTGGAGTCAGATGTCAGGAACAGTGCCTTGGGCACAAGGCAGCCACTGGGTCCAATCTTAATCTTTCCCAACAGGATTTATACATCATGTTGGTATGTATGGCATAGGCAGGTATGATGCTAAACAATGCACGAATAATTGCACATTTCTCTCATGTATTCTGCAAAAATGAATACAGATTACCTGTTGGCTAAGTACTTGAGAATAGCCAGCTTTTTACAGAAGCTTTCATGTGTGAATTGTGAACCATTTACCCATCATATGATGTCCATTTCCATTTTGAGAATCAGTTGCACACTTAGAGAGTACCTAGGCTGGAATGACATAACATGCCTAAAGGTGTTTGGACTGTTTTTAAAATATCACTAAGTAGTGTTATTGGGCCAGCTAAATGAACAAGTACAGAAATTGTCCTCGGGCTCTTATGCCCTAATGTTAATAGCACTGGATAAGCCTCACTTCGTCTATAAAATAAGTGGGAAGGGTTTTCTGTAGTACTAAAACTCCAGCTTGGGTGGTATAGGAACTACTTTCTTGCTATGATGAGGACAAAAAAGACTATAAAAACACAAGTTTTAGGACAGCAGCTTTATAGGAAACAAAACGCTGGTAAGTATGACAGTTTCTAAAATTACTAAAGGTAACGTTTTATTGCTTGAACTGGTGAAGCAAAGCTTACTTGAAGACACATTATTAACTTCTAGAGAAACAGACACGCTTCCTTTGTGGGAAGGGAGGAGGTGACAGAGTGCTCTAGGACTAAGCATCTGAAGAATGTTTTCTTGATCCAAAAAAGTTCTTACATTCCATTGCAGCTAGCTGCTGGCTGCTCCTCCTAGGATAGATAAGAAGCTTTGATACAGAGAATACTTCATGTGAATCAGCTATCCTTCAGTTCCCCGTGGGATAACACTGAGCATACAATGCATTTAAGGGGTGAGAAAATTGAATGATGAATTTATTCTGAGAATTTGTAAGGATATACTTCAGTTTGCACTGTAACATCAGTTGGTGAAATGGAAACCTATAAAGACTAGCTTAAAACTAGCTTAGTTGTTCCAGAATTTCACAGAACTTGAAGGTACATTTGTCTCCTATTTAATATCAGCATAGTGATTTGTGGAAGAAATGGTCAAGAAAGCATTTCATGGGTTTCAGTGCCTTAAACGTGCCTGCAACTAGATAGGCTAAAAGTTATAGAAAGTGAACACTGGCAAAGATAAGTCAGAATGTATGAGTCTAGACTAAATAAAGAAGCAACTCCAACTGATCTCTAGTTGAAGATGAATGTACACTATGGAAATGAAGGGTTTGTAGTGCTGTATATTCAGTAGCAAAACATCTGCCTCATATGTACCTGTACTGTAATCCACAAAGCCTTTGTGTGTGCTCCTGGGTGTGTTCTGTGATCACAAGGTGCACTTCATCATCTCTTAAGCCTGGACGCACCCTTCAATTACTTACTTGCCTGGAAAGCCCTGAGATCTCTTAAAATGCCTCCATCTGAAGAATTTATTTATTACATGCAAGTTCTAATTGTGACTTTTCCCCTTCTCTCCTTCCCCTCCTCTCTGCCCAACTGTCTCTATAATGTTTTGGGAAAGGACAAGTATTGTGGCACATGTACTTCCTCTTAGTCCGCATTGCCGTAAAAACTCTGGGATAGTAGAAAGTACCATTAATGTCTTTAAGAAGGAGAGCTCTTTAAGGTCCCAAAGGCCAGTGTAACATTTAAAATGCCAACTGTGCAGGTACATTTACTTCTGCTGCTTGGTATGCAGCTGCTGCAGCATTGCCAGAAATTGGAAAGCCAAAGCCAGGGGAGAGCCTCACCTTTGCCCAGGCTGGCATGCAGGGATTAACACATTTTCCTCTGCATTCTTGTTTTTAAAAGCCCCTATCCTCTGCATGGATCTGGTGAAAGACCCTTAATGTTCTTTTTATGGGCAGCCAGGATTCTTACTGGAAGCAGGACTTTAAATGACAGCTCTGGGTGGAGCACATGGCAGTGCAAACACCAAATACAGCTTCTTCCTGTTGCCAGCTGCTCAAACTGGTTTGCTTTGCTCCTTTCAGTTGGGTGTGGATCTATGACTTCAGGGCTTTAAACCCTGAAAGATGGGGTCACTTGCCAAACAAGTAACAGGTGGGGAGGATGAGCCTTGCTAAGGATCAAATAAATATCCCTCCCTGGGCAGGGCATTCAGACATGAATGACTGAGCTGTGTTGGGCAAGATGTAACCATAAAGCATAGGTGAAACATACAGGAAGGGGAAAAGAGCCAGGGTTGCTCCCTGTACAATCCAATTGTTTGCCAAGAACAGTGTGGTAAAGGGAGGTGGGATGTTAGGTTGAGGGTAGAGGTTAAAGAATGCTTTGGGACCTTCCAAAATCAAGTTGAAAGATCTTTCCGAAATGGTATTAGTAGCCCCATTCAAACTGCAGATTAAATTACTGCTTCTGGAATGATGACTGTGAGATTACCACATTAGAGATGGGCAGAAGTCATACCACTTCTCTGCAGTGGACTAAGCCCATTTGGAAATAACCTAGAATGGCCTGCAGGGAAATTGACATCTCACTGAACTACACTGGGTCTGAGTGGAATAGCTCCAAGATTCTTACTGACATGGGTACAGTTTTCCTTTTACATGGTATTGGCTCTTCTGGAAATACAGCAGGGCAAAAAACAGTGCTAGATGTGATTTAAAAGTTTTCTTAAACAGGATGATGCAGAAAAATAAGTGGCAGGTTGCTGCATTGTCACTGGTCCTGGTTGATTAAGTCGTCTGGGTTTTAGATTTTTGGAACTGTTAGAGGAAGAGGAAGGTCTGGATTCTGCCATGGGAACTGGGGCAGTGTAAATCATAGTAGAGTGTAAAAATTAAAAACCAGGAGGAGTTGGCTTTCTCACTTGTTGAAACCTGAATGGAATGTTATCTGATTTCCTTAACAGATCCTGTAGCCCAGTGCAGAGCAGTGCCAGAGGTGAACTAAGCAGCAAAACAGCTTTCTAAAAATTCTCACATTACTGTAATAAAGAAATCCTAACTTCTTAGATTAAAGTATTTCTATAAAGGCTGATTTACTCAATAAGTTTATCACAGCAAGAAATTTGTCTTCCATCTTTAAACTGCCAAGCCAAGTAAAGCTACCACCTTTGTCCCTGGTAGCACAGCAATGGTGACTGAAGTTGTAAGGACAGCACTACTCCTCAGTATCAAAAGGCACAAGTCCAGTTTTTTAGAAACAATGCAGGCCTATAGTCAGATTCAGGAAGAAGCCTGGTATTTAAAAAATAATTCTGAATTAAATTAGGTAGTTAAGTTTAGGTCAGCAAATTGTATGATGAACCACGGCCATCCTCAAGACCCTGTCGACATCTATAGTTTCTCACCTAGCAGTAACTAGTAGAAAAGTTATCTGGGGCCTTGAATTGTGCTACTGCACATACCTAGACATGCTGTGCTCTTGGTCAGGCAGAACACTTCTGCTGAAACAGTGTTACAATTGCTTCCCCTTCTGCACAAATACACAGTAGCACCAAATTCGCCCAGAACATTTACAGCAAGGAGGAACAAATACATAGATACCTGACTCCTGAGCTGTTGCCATTTGCAGTTCAGTACTCACACTGCTCCAGCTCTTTGGCAAAGCAGTATGGCTGACTGCCAAAGTCAAATCCAGTGGCAGTCAGGAGACAGAACAGAGTCTTCAATGCCTGAGTCGTGTTCAAAAAAATAAGACTGGTATTTATCACACTGAGCAGAGGAAACTCTTGATGCCTTAAAAATCTGATTATTGCAACTCCACTGATTAGCAGGGAAGTCCACTAACATAAATACAAAGACTAGAACAAAGCCAGGCTGTCTTCCTGAGTTCAATACATAGTGTCATAAATAGAATAGTGGGAGAGAAGGCACTCAAGAGACTCATCAAACTGGGGGAAAAGTATTGAGAAATGTATTTAGTAGTTACTGTACAAAGTCCTGCTAGCTCCACTGCAGCAGTCCTCAATACATGGGCAAGATTTAGAAGGTACAGAATGAAGGCAATGCAGATCTGTTGTGCTCAGCATAGAGCACATGTAAAGGGCAGCAACAGGTGGAGAGTAAGGCAGATAAAGGGTTATTCATGCTCTGTGTATGTATGTCAGTGAGGCATAACAGATGCACCCAGCAGGCTGCTTTGCTGTGCCCGTTTCCATTTCAGGTTCTGGTGATACATGGCAACATCTGAGTCTCTTTTCCCAGCATAACCCTTGGCAGTTGTTCAGTGGATGTGCTGGACACTCATGTCTGCATGTGTCCACTCGTGTCATGAATGCCCACGACTTCACACCCCTGGAGGGTCTGTCATCAGTTTTTTTGAGACAGATACTGTTAGATAAAGTTAAGGAAAAACAGATGTGCTTATGGACAAATTTCATGTATCACAACTGTACAAATTAGTATTGTTCCAGTTTATTTTCCTTTGGGTGAATATTAGAGATTATAAATATATTTTAGAAAGTATTTAAAATATGAACCATTTCTTTATTTTTGCTCTTCTTTATGAGATTTACTGCTAGATCAATGACTCAACTTCATGTACCAGCACACTCCTCTTAAACTATTTCCAAGCAGATCAAATATTGTTAGTAATTCAGGGCAAGGAAATTCTGAGAATCTAGAGTTTAAGAACTTGGTAATTACTTTTCTTTGAAGAATGCAGAATTTTTGCATCTTCACATAGAAGGTTGTGATCCCTTGATAACATTTCATACCCAGACAATACATGGTACTCAGGCAGACAGTAAAATTAACCACCCATATCTAAGCATAAGTTTACCTGGCTTTTGCCACTATGTACTACTACTATATTCCAGGACAGGATACCCCTGGGGCTTCAACTTCTCTACTTCTGACCACTCTGTGATCAGGGAAAAATGTCAGTTGAACTGCTTCCTTAGCTTTATTAACATAATGGTAAATAAACTAGAATAAATTAAGAAATACCTATTTCTGTAAATTTTTATTAAAGACTTAGATGCCTAAGATTTTTTTTCTGAATTATCTTCATATTATTCAAAATATACTTAACTTGAGACATTTCTAGATCATGTTCAATTTGGACAGAGTGCACATCATTTTGGATGAAATGCTGCTAAATGGTTGCATCGTGGAAACAAACCGGAACAGAATTCTTGCCCCTCTGTTTGTGCTTGACAAAGTGGCAGAAGGCTAGGAAGATGCAAGCATGACTAAGGTGTTTTACAAAAGATGGCAAAAGCATCAGGAATGTGCCTATAGCAGTTTTCTGCTGTTGCAAGACTGACTCATACAACACTCAAATTAGCTGGAAAATATTTTCCATTTCTCTTACACTGTGTACCCAATGGGAAACATACAGCTAAACATGTGGATGCATTCAGATGCTGCTTCACTGACCCAGCAGAAATCGCCCCAGAATGGTCAATAATTTTAAAACATTTGAGGATGAAGAAATGGAAACTTACCATGACTGACTAGGTATCACTTTGAATTATGTAGTATCATGCCAGACCTAGAAGACAAAAACCGAAAAAATACAAACTCAAACTGAGTTTCAGTCCTTCCCTTGATTTATTTTCACGTAAATTTACTGTTAATAATGGTTCTGTGATTTCTATGCCCATTTCTAAGCTATATTCATCCTTCATCAAAAAGCTGGCTTCCCTCCCTTTGACATGCAAGTCACGGACACGGAAAGTACTGATGTATTAAATATTTTTGCATACTTTGCAAGTTGTAACTGGAATTATTTAGCACTTAAATACTATATTAATAAAAGATAATTAAAATCAGAAGTTTAATGCTCTTTTGTCATATTGGCTTCATAAATTAGACAAAATCTTTCCCATGTTGGCACACCAGTGTATTTTTTTTTCTCTTATATATGCTATCTATGGATCAAGATTAAAACTCTTACAGAAGATATGTAATAAAAGATATGCAAGTTCTCAGGATCAGGTATGTACCAAATGAAATCTCCCTTTTTGAGCAGGAAGCAGTAGCTATGCTAAGTTGCAATCCCAAGCATCCAGCATGTCGATTCACACTGCACACTACTCTGCAAGTCAAGGGACAGTTGGCAATCTCAGCTTACTTCCACTTACCTTTCTAGAACTGTTATCTTCTGTTATCTTACTGCCTCGTTCTTCTTAACCTCCAGCCCAACCCTTCATATAACCTGATACTGAATAAACATATTCTGTGTGAAAACACATACTGGTCACATAAATACCACGCAGAAACCAGGGTCTAAGGAGCAAAGAGTGTTGTGTGTGAGAATAATCCACAGGGCTTTGACACAGTAACGCATTTATCAAAACAACATGATGTTCAGACCAGAGCAGAGTTGCATAAACCTGGACAGAGGTGTTTGTCTGAAGAATGACAGGCACAGGAATGGGCAGGATGGTGGATATTGCCCTCCAATTCTGCATTAGGGAAAATCTAAAAAACAATGCTATAAAGTCCTACAAACAATGCCATGAAAAGAAATCTGGCACCAACCTGATGTGTATGTGCAAGGCAGAGTCTTTTGGCAAGCCCCTCTCAGCAGTGGTCTGAGAAAAGGTTGTTACCAAACAAAACTGGCACAAAGCAAAACTTACTACATACAATAGTCTTTTTTTTTTCTGGTATCAACTACTTTAAAATCTTTAAAACCATAGTGTCATCTTGCTTTATCTTACTGTAAGCCCCTGTTTTTCAATAAATATCACGTGCTAACACCAAGACAGCCAGTCCACCTCAACTAAAGCTGAATCAGCTGTATCATCTGACCCAGATTTTATTCCAGTGTAATGAAGAACTATAGTCTCAGGTCACATGGGCGCACTGAAGAGCACCAAAACCTGCCACATGCAGGTTATCACTGCCAGGTGCATTCTTAAGAAGTTCCATTTACTCTGAAAAGATTTGAACACAAGAGATGAATTTGTGAGATCAGTAGTTCTCTTATGTAGTTCTTCGAAACATTTTAAAAAGCATGGCACATTGTTCAGAACGTGTACAGAGATTTAGTAAGTACTAATGAAGTATTCAGAAGAGACATTTTTATATGTTGCAAACATTTTAATGATTACTTTTGAGCTTACACATTGGGTGCTTTTTTTTTAAACTTCAAACTGCAACAAGTTAAATAAATGTTTATAATNAAAGAAAATACAACTGAAAGTAAAACTTGCTTTAAGTGTGCCTTGCACTAGGAACCAGTGTTTTTTAATAGCTTTATTGTTGAGCTGCACAAACACACTTAAGGATTTGATCTTTATAGCAGGGCATTTGAGAAATCAAAATATATTCCCACTTGAAAGAAAAAGAAGAAAAAAAATGGTTGTGCATGATTATACGCAAAAACCCACTAAAATACTCCAATAGTGCAGGCACCATTAAAAAAGAAAAGGCTGGAGATGCCCATTAAGTCTAAATTTTAAAGGAAGCAAGTTTCTGACCAGTTAGCTTAAAGCCAGCAAAACAGGGATCAGTGATGGCAACCGTAGTGTACAGGGTATTAAAAGACAAACTTTACACAATACACTGTTAGAAATTTGTATCAGTGAACACTGAAAATCTGATGATCTGTTCTTTGGAACAGTCAAACAGAAACACCTTAATTTCCAGTTGTGCAAGCCCTTGAAGCATCACACAGTGTTCTGTGCCAATTTCTCGCTGGCTGTGTAGTTACAAGGATTTATTTTGTCATTAGCAGCTAACAAACATTCCACATTTTCCTAAAGCCTCACAGGTGAAAAAAAGGCAAGTCTCATCAGAGCACAGCGTGGAGATCGTATTTTTTGCACACAAACACAAGAGGCTTCGCTAGTATCAAAAACACTTCCATGACCCAGGCTGCGCTCAGCGGCTCAGTTGAGGTGGAAGCCTTTCTCCATGGTAGCAGCTAGCAGACGCTCCCTCATAATCTCCTCGGAAGAATACTCAGGCAACTTTAGGTAATGCACACACGTATTCACAGATGGATAACTTGCATCTGTAGCATCAACCTGAGGAAAAACAAGAATTTTACTGCAGTTGTTCACAGCATTCAGTATGGAAGTTACAACTTGTGAAGTCCTCTCATTCATGGCACTTGCTGCATACCCAACATCAGTTGTCAAGAAACAACAGCATCAGCAAAACTACAGGCCAATTTATAAATATACTTGCTTTATATGTACATTAAAACTTTAATATTTAAATATAAGAATTATATATAAAAATATATGAGATAGATATATATGTATGGTATCAGAGAGCAGAACTGAAACCAGAGGTTAGTATCGAAACCTTAGTGTAGTGCCATAAGCTAACTAACAAAAATAAAACCCATTGTTGTTGATGTAGAAACTCTTGCATTGCCAAGCCAAAGCACTGGATCAAAGGGTGCCTGGGGTACCTTGCGCACGACAGTGAGCCGGGGGTGGAGGTTTGCCAGCCCTCCTGGGGGGAGTGTCGAACAACCAGTGGTGAACTGCAGAAAAGCCTTCCTCTCATCCGAAGACATACCACACAAGACTCTCACAAATCGAAGGAATCCAGGGCTTAAAATAAAGTAAAAGAATTAGTTCTGATAACACCACAAGAGGGTGGAGGTTTTTAAAATTTCTCTTAATTTAACACAGTAGAATTACAATCTTTAGTCAGGGTTCAGCAGACATTTTAAGATTCTAGAACCTGTTGAGTATTAAGAATAAAACATCCTTAAATCCAAAACAATAGTCTTTATTCTCCTTGCAGAGTATTACACAAAAAGATGTAGGTACATACTTAATCTTGGGGTGTTATTTGGGTATCTTGCATTTGAATGCATGTGACTGAGTAGAGAAATAGAGCTCAAACATTTCAGCAGGCTTATTCTAATTCAGTTCCAGAAGTAATTTGTATATTATTGCTACCAAACATGACAAGCAGCAAAAACAAATCCCAAACCCAACAGACCTGAAAACATCAAGACTACCTGCTGACAGCCAACCACCAGTAAGTATATTTGTCCCTTGCATAGCACACTTTCTTTTTTAACTACACCTCAAGAGAAAGGAGTAAGAAATGTGGGTAAAGTAACAACTGTACACAGACAGAAAGAAATTATAACTACTATCAAACATGAGAATAAAAACTCTAAAATCTATTTTTAGTAATCTGTATTAGCTGCCATTACGTTTTCACTAGTTACTTGCATTTGAGTAGTTTTTTTTATCTTCTCTCATCACAAAACTACCAAGTACCTTCTAACGTATCTGTTGTAACACATGGTTAGTCTCATCCAATTTTAGACAATCATCTGCTCTTCAGTTACCATCAACTTCATCAATTTGGCATCTTTATCTAATGAACATTCTAGACATTCTATCACATCACATTTTCTTTTAGCTACTATTTTAAAATCACTCAGAATAAAAGTACCTATCTCTTGTATATCCCAGTTTGGGTTCAGTGTAATTGATGATATCCTCAGCTGCCCAAGAAGGTGATTGATTTCCACAAAGAATCATCTGAACCTCTTCATGGCTGAAGGAACTCAGCTTCTCCATTGGAAAGACTCTATTGAAGCCATCTTTAATTTATACAAGATACAGTTATAAACATGAATCCAAATAATGTTTATAAAATAATGTCAGCATTTAAGTCGTATTTTAGTCAAACCAATCAATCAATAGTTTCTTAATTAAATTAAATGGAACATCTTCACAACTAAAAACAGTGTAACTAATGCAAAGGTATTCTGAAATTAGGATCTTACCTATTGCATTCTTAAGTAAAAAGTTTATATTTGAAAGCCATTCTATGCCACCACTTAAAACCAGCATGCCCTAAATACCCATTATTCCACCTAACTTCATATATGTTGTTATATGTACAATTACCTCTGAAGGCCTCCATTTGTTTCTGTATACCAGTATGCATGCAGAAGTCAAACATGAGATCTACGTACTCCTCTGCATTATCCATTGTTACAGTCTGCAAAGACAGTAGATAAATACTCTAATGACGTGTCTCAACAATAACTTTGATACTGTAATTCTTAAAGTTATTGTTGAGACAATAAAAATTTAACTGCTGGTTAAATTGTAAGGTAGGTTATTTCCTTACCTCATCTTCACCACCTGGTTTGAGATCCACAGCTGTAAACCCATATACTTTGGATGAAGGGCAAAACTGAAAATTTAAACTTCAAAACACAAAGTTAATAATTGATAGTTAATAGGTGAATAATTAATAATTGAAAACAAATAGTTAATAATTGAAAACAAGTCTGCTACTGCTTTTGTAAACACATCAGATTTACAACCTGTTACACCCAAAGGAACCTTACTGGATTTCAAACCATTGCGAGTGCATCACTTTGAACCACTGTTCATGTACATACAAAAGCACAGAACTACAAACAGTAATGGACTACACATATAATGTGTTTCAAACATATAGTATGCAAATACATATTCTCACTCTATTTATTTGGATTTGATAACCACTGAAAATTTTAGAAATTTGATATCTTTAAGCTATCAGCTTCAAAGCTACTCAAACCATTTAATTTAGTTCACAAATTCAGAAAAATAATTTCCATTAAATTCCAACAATAACAATTACAGAGTCACTCAACCTATTAGGCATTTAGGCCTTTCAATAGTGCTACATGCTTTCTCTCCATAACAACCCAGGCTAAATTCCACAAGCCCTTTGAGGATATAAAGCTATTACACATTACTGACAGAAGGACTACGAAGATGGGGAAGGGCCTAGAGAGGAAGCCATACAAGTTCAGTCTGGAGTGGAGACGACTGAGGGGAGACCTCACTGCAG